TCGCCCCTTTGGGAGCAATCGAGAATGAAGCAAACAAGATACAAAGGAAAGATCAGTCGAAAGGACTAATGGACCACAACTACCACGGCCTCCCAGACTGAGTTCAGTACAACTAGATGGTGACCGGCTATCACCACTGACTGCTCTGGCCAGGATCACAACAGAGGGTCCCAGACAGAGCTGGAGAAGGATGCAGAACAAAATTTTAACTCAGAAAAGAAGACTAGACTTACTGGCTTGACAGAGACTGGAGAAAACCCGAGTATGGCCCCTGGATACTCTTTTAGCTCAGCAATGAAGTCACTCCCGAGGTTCACCGTTTAGCCAAAGATTAGACAGCCCCGTAAAACAAAATAAGAATAATAGGGCACAACAGTCCAGGGACAAGGACTAGAAGGCAGGAAGGGACAGGAAATCTGGTTAATAGGAAACTCAAGGTTGAGAAGGGACATTGTTGATATGTCATGGGGTTTTTAATCACTGTCATAAAACAATGTGTACTAACTGTTTAATGAGAAGCTATTTGTTCTGTAAACCTTCACCTAAAGTACAATTAAAAAAAAATGACTGATAACACACATATTTAAAGTGAGGAGGAAGTGGAACAATGGGAAGCCTGATAAAATGTTGGTGGGCACTTGGGAAAGCAGTCTGCTAATATCTACTAAGTATATACCCAAACAAAATGTTGCACATATGCACTAGTATACCATTTGTATGACTTCATTTATATAAATACAAAAACTAGCACAACTAAACTATCGTGTTAGATGTCAGAACAATGACTACTAGGAAGAAAAAGAACAGTGAATATGAGGGGCAGAAGGTAATTCGGGGGTGCTGGCAATGCTGAATTTCTTGATGCGGGTTGCTACTACATGTCTTTTTACTTTGTTGTAATTCATCAAGCTATAATGATGTGTTATGTGCTTTTTTGAACATGTATTATGTGTACTGTATTTCATGATAAAGAAAAATAACAAATATCTTGAAAATACCCCCAAGAGAAAAAGCATAAAAGTTACATATTAATGAATATATTACAATCTCATCTACTTAAGCTATCTAAAAATAACTCAATGTATATAATGCTACTTATACACACACATATAAAGGCATGGTGGAAGTTCTGAAAGGCTACACCGAATAGGGAGACCTGGTGGCACAGTGGTTAAGAGCCTGGCTGCTAATCAAAAGGTAAGCAGTTTGAATCCACCAGCTACTCCTTGGAAACCCTGTGGGGGCAGTTCTACTCTGTTCTATAGGGTCGCTATGAGTCAGAATCAACTCAACAGCAACGAGTTATACTAAACAGGTAACAGTAGTCACCTCAATGAAAGTGAGTATAAGTGGGGAATTCACTTAAATGCAACAAATATTTTAAACTTATTTAAAAGTAATAAAGTCTGTATCTTTATCTACCTACACCACACAGTATACACATTTAGGAGATTACTGGCTGAGAAAAGGTGTCATGGTTCGAATTGTGTTCCCTAAAAATGTGTGTCAACTTGGCTGGGCCATGATGCCCAGTATTGTGTGATTGTCCACCAGTTTGTCATCTGATGTGATTTTCCTATGTGTTGTAAATCCTACCTCTATGATGTTAATGAGGTGAGACTAGAAGCAGTTATGTTAATAAGGCAAGACTCACCCAACAAGATTAGATTTTATCTTAAATCAACCTCTTTTGGGATATAAAAGAGAGAAGCCATCATAGAGACATGGGGACCTCATACCACCAAGAAACAAGAGCCAGGAGAATAGCACGTCCTTTGGACCCGGGGACCCTGCACTGAGAAGCTCTTCGGCCAGGGCAAGATTGATGACAAGGACCTTCCCCAGAGCCAAGAGAGACAGAGCCTTCACCTGGAGCTGGCATCCTGAATTTGAACTTCTAGCCTCCTAGACTGTGAAAGAATAAATTTCTCTTTGTTAAAGCCACTTGTGGTATTCTGTTATAGCAGCACTAGATGACTAAGACAAAAGGTAAATTAGGAAAGTATGAATTAGCATCAGATTATAAAATTCAACTGTTTTGGTAAATATTGTTTTGCCACAGTACTTGTCAGGGGGATGGAGGACAAAGCAGACATGACATAAAGAAAGTCACCAGTGTGGGGAAATTTGATGAGAGTTCCTGTAACACTTCATTAAATTAGACCCGAGACCTAAGTATTAATAAGATCTTCAAGATTTCATATCTTCCTTCTGTGCTTTAAAAATTTCTTTTTTTTTCCCTTTGTGAGTGGATAGCAGGAAGTACTGAAATGGTTAGTACAACGACTACTTTTATCATATGCTTTCAATATATCAAAAATGTCTAACTGTAGGCAAAGAAGTCTAACAGCAATACAACTTTGATAAATGAGAACCACATTACTAAAAGGTCCAAATCACAACCTTCACTGATCTTTCCCCAGCTTCCAGTAGTATTTTCATAGTTTATCTTTCAATTTTCATCTAAAGCCTCACTGCTTTAACTCACTGGTCAAAAGTGAGAAACCACTTTATTAAACCCAACCATTAAAAACATGGCTTTCTGAACAATGATGAATCTGCAAAGCATCTCATATCATGGATGAATCTGGAGGGCATTATGCCAACTGAAGTAAGTCAATCACAAAAGGACAAACATTTTACGAGACCTCTACTGTAAAAACTCATGAAAACGTTTATACACAAAAAGAAACAATCTTTGATGGTTACAAGGGAAGGGAGGGGTGGGGATGGAAGAACACTAAATAGACAATAGATAAGTGGTAACTTTGGTGAAGGGTAAGACAGTTCACAATACTGGGGAAGCCAGCACAACTTGTACAAGGCAAGGTCGTGGAAGCTCCACAGACACATCCAAACTCCCTGAGGGACCAAACTGCTGGGCTGAGGGCTGGGGGGACCGTGGTCTCCGGTAACATCTAGCTCAATTGGCACAACATAGTTTATAAAGAAAATGTTCTACGTTCTACTTTGGTGAATAGCGTCTGGGGTCTTAAAAGCCTGTGAGTGGCTATCTAAGATACTTTACTGGTCTCACCCCTTCCGGAGCAAAGGAGAATGAAGAAAACTAATGATACAAGGTGTCTTAGTCATGTAGTGCTGCTACAACAGAAATACCACAAGTGGCTGGCTTTAACAAAGAGAAATTTATTTCTTCACAGTAAAGCAGGCTGAAAGTCCAAATTCAGGGCGTCAGCTCCAGGGGAAGGCTATTTCTCTGTCGGCCTTCTTCTCGTCAATGTTCCCCAGACTAGGAACTTCTCTGCACAGGGACCCTGGTCCAAAGGATGCACTCTGCTCCCGGCACTGCTTTTTTGATGGTATGAGGTCCTCTGACTCTCCACTTGCTTCCCTTTCATCTCTTACAAGAGATAAAAGGTGGTGCAGGCCACACCCAGAGAAACTCCCTTTACAATAGATCAGGGATGTGACCTGAGTAAGGGTAGTGTTACAATTCCACTCTAATTCTCTTTAACGTAAAACTACAATCACAAAATGGAAGAAAACCACACAACCCTGGGAATCATGGCCTCGTCAAATTGATACACACATTTTTTGGAGGACACAGTTCAATCCATGACACAAGGGAAAGATTAGTCCAACGGACTAATGGACCACAGCTACCACAGCCTCCACCTGACTAGATGGTGCCCAGCTACCACCATTGACTGCTCTGACCAGGATCACAACAGAGGGTCCTGGACAGAGCTGGAGAAGGATGTAGAACAAAATTCTAACTCACAAATAAAGACCAGATTTACTGGCCTGACTGGAGAAACCCCCAGAGTATGGCCCCCAGACACCCTTTTAGCTCAGTGGTGAAGTCACTCCCGAAGTTCACCATTCAACTGGGGACTGGACAACCCGATAAAACAAAACAGGACTAATGAGGCACAGCAGTCCAGGGACAGGGACTAAAAGGCATGAGGGGACAAGAAAGCTGGTGATAGGGAACCCAAGGTTGAGAAGAGACAGTGCTGACATGTCGTGGGGTTGTTAACCATTGTCATAAGCCAATATGTGTACTGTTTAAAGAGAAACTATTTGTTCTGTAAACCTTCATCTAAGGTACAAAAAAAAGAATTATCTATGTGAGATCAAACTGACAACGGCAACTCAAAAGGTTTCATGGGAAGCTTAGGGGACAGTGAGTTGAAGATAATGGTGATGGAATAATTTGGAAAAGGATAGTGAGAATAGCAGCACAACTGGAAGAATGTTATTGATGTCACTGAAATTTCTGAAATGGTGTATCTTTGGTGATGTATATTTTCACCAAAGGAAAAAAAGGTCATCCAAGGTCGAGAAGGGAGAGTGTTGACATGTCGTGGGGCTGTTAACCAATGTCATAAAACAATATGTGTACTAACTATTTAATGACAAACTATCTGTTCGGTAAACCTTCACCTAAAGTACAATGAAAAAGTAAAAAAATTTAAAAAAAAAATCTAACTCACAAAAAAAAGACCAGACTTACTGGCCTGACAGACGCTGGAGAAACTCCGAGAGTGTGACCCCTGGACACCCTTTTGGCTCACTAATGAAGTCCCTCCCGAGGTTCACCCTTCAGCCAAAGAGTAGACAGGCCCATAAAACAAAATGAAACTAGGGGGGCACAATAGCCCAGCGACAAGGACTGGAAGGCAGGAGGGGACAGGAAAGCTGGTAATAGGGAACCCAAAGTAGAGAAGGTGGAGTGCTGACATGTCATGGGGTTGTTAACCAATGTCATAAAACAATATGTGTACCATCTGATGTGAAACTAGTTTGTTCTGTAAACCTTCATCTGAAGTAGAATAAAAATTTAAAAAAAAAATTTCTAATACTGAAAAAAGAAAACATGGCTTTCTTCTTCATTACACAGGAACAATAATACTGCAATAACTACATATTTAAAGATGAAGTGAAAACATGATGCACACCAAATGGATATTGCACTTAAAATACTTTTATGAAAAGACTACAAATTTCCTTTTTTGAAAGAAGATTCTAATAAGTACCTGAGCAAGTTCTTTTTGTTCATTCACCAGTCTGCTGCAGCTAGCAATCATCTGGTCCAGGGCATAAAGCCTATCTTCAAGTCCTTTAATAGCTTTCATATTCTGATTATCAAGTTTGGCAATAGTTTGACGGCATTCTGCTAGAAATGGTCGAATAATCCTTGGATCAAGCTAAATGACAAGGAAATATATATGAATACAATTTGCAGCAAACAGAATAGTTTAAAATATATTTCACACTATTTGGGTACACTGCTTCAGAGAAAACCTAAAAAAGCAGTAGAGAAAAAGAAAAGCAAAAGCACGGCAAATATGAGTTATTCTTTCACAGGAAAGTAAAGAACAGTTTAACACAATTATCACTGTAAAATGCTATGGAATACATAATCAGAAATATAGTTCCAGGAATTACCCATTTCAATCAATATCACAATTTGTTTTAAAGTTCTTATAGAATAAAGCATAGTTAATGATTAAATCACAATACTCTTTCTTACTATTCAATCCCTCCTGTTCCCTGGCTTTAATTCTAAATTTGCTCGAGTTCATGGAACCCTAAAAAATTTCTCTCCGTATTGCTGGCTGCCTCTTTGTCTGCACTCTCCATGAAAGCTGTTCTGGCAAAGTTCTTCACCAACTGCCTCAGTTCAAGTGAGGCTTTTGTACAACCTTGTCCTAACTCTACAGGCTGTGGGACATTTCCTCTGCTGGTTCCTCTCAGTTAAAAGTTCCTATCAGAGTATCTTTCTCTCGCTCCTCTTCCTCACTCTAATCCAGAACTCTGTCCTTAGCCATTTTTACTCTTCCCTATATGATTTCACCATTAAGCATGACTTATACGCATGTAACTCTGAAACTTATTTCAATTCCTTGTATTTTTCACAAATTCCTACCCTGTTTCTGATTGCTTGCTGATATCTCCATTTGGGTATCAACAATGATGTCTTCTACTAGTGACTCATTATATCTGTCTCCTGATGAAATCCCCTAATGGCCTCCTTCTAACCACAAACCACATGAATAAAAAGACTACAGTAGAGGCTTCAGTGATCTGATACCAATAAATCTTTCCAGGCTGCTCTCTTTTCAAACTTGATTACCTGTCATGTCCAGACAAACCCTGGTGTTTCTATCTCTAGTCTTTGTTCACATAGCTTGTGACTAGATCACAGTTCTTTAAGCCCATTTCTATCCCGATTTCAAGATTCTAGCTATATGCTACCTCCTTTGTGATCCTTTCTCTACAGTCAAAAGACTTATTTATTTTATGCAGTATTCTTGTACATGAACAGCACAAAAAAGCATTTAAAGCTGAAAATCTATTGTTATATCAAGAATTTGCCACCACCAAAAAAGTTAACAAAGCAAACTATTTAAGTACAGGCAGCCCTTTCTTTGCACAGTATTGTCATAAGTGAAATTTGTGAGTATATGCATGTTCCCTTGCTTTTCTCCGTTTCATGGTAACAAAAGTCCAATGTACACACGTTTCTATTACAGTCCTGTACGATGCAAAGACTACTGCCAAGTATTAGGGAAATAAAAAATGATTAAAACTGGTTCAAACTGTCAATTTGGGCAAAATTACAACTACACATAAACTTAACATAGCTAGGACTCAAGGAAGATAAAACAATCACAAAACCAAGCCACCTGATTATGTGTCTGTATTTCATAAATAACTAAAAGTACAGATAGCTCTAGACTTATGACATTTTTGAGTTACAACGAACTGCACTTACAACCGTCTTTTCGTTTGTACATCTTATCATTAGTAATATGTACTACGTACGGTGTTGCAGTGCGTAATTTGCTGATGTTATCATTCTCAGATGTTTGCTCACAGATGTTTAATTTTATCATTTACTGTTTAAAACACTGCTCTATAGATTTAGTTTTCTAAACTATATCAGGGGATTCAGTTGCTTGAAAACATAGACCCAAACACTGATTGCTTTGCTAAAGTTGACAGGCAGATTTGGAAAGCAGTGAGATGTTACCGCAAGATACATGAAGAAAGAAAGAAAAGGACCAGACAGATAACTCTCACTAATTTTCTGACTAGAAATGCCATCCCCAGGGATAATCCAGATGATCCAGAATCTTCCACAAGTGGAGTCATTACTGCAACTGACACAATACCACTGTCTTCCAACTCTATTGTCAGAGTAAACGTCTATGATTTGTGTATTTTTTTATGTATTTATGCATTAAAATATATCTGTAACTTTATATGTAACGTTTCCAACACCCAAAGGCAAATAAAGATCGGATTTATAAAGATACTGATAATAAATGGCAATAATGAAAAATTTAAAAAAATGACATATTCAACTTATGTCAGAACTGATTTACGACAAAGTCGTTGGAATAGAACCCAACTGTAAGTAAGGGACTACCTGTATAATGCAACTGCAATGATTTGTGATTCACTCAATACAGGTTACATAATTTGACTTCCTAAAATTTTACTCTATTTAAATACTTTAATTCCATTTGTCCACAGGTAATGAAAATTAAAATTTCCAAATAAAGACTTCGAAGAAAATTTTCAGATTATTTATTTTAAACCACAGAATAGTAATATTAATAATCAGCAAATTAAACACTTATTGCTACACTAATTTTTACTCTTGGGCTCTTTCTTTGATAACTACAGAGACTAACATTATTGTTGCTTTAGAGGAAAACTGTAAAAATAAGAAAAAGCTTCTTAGCCTCTCCATTCTCCCCATCCCACCTCTAAACCCTCATCCCACTGCAGAGGGCAAACAATAATATTCCAACAAGATCCTGCTAGAAATAGGAAACAGATTGCCCTTTGTAGTATAATCTGAAATAGAATATCAACCTTTGTAGTATAATCTGAAATACAATATCCAAGAGTTGTTCTAGCAAGAACACAATACAATCCAAGAAAACATGAGTATACAAAAATACAATGGCAATTTAAGATTTTTCTTTACATTAAAATAGGGAAAAAAACTAATTCATAAAACTAGCATCTATCAATCCACACAAATAATATAAAACTAAAGATTAAAATTATTTCTTGAGAAAGACATCTGAATCTGACATTTAATGAAAAACTATAGATTTGTTCAAGTTTCACCTAAAAGATTAAAAAAAAAAAACAACAAAACTGTATGGGGCATAAATATATAGAACTCCTGAGAAGAGAAAATTATTAACCTAATAAAAACACTATCACCTAGTAACTAAATAACAAATTGGCTCAAAAAATAATGACTATCACCCGTAAGTACTGTGCTCCTTTAAAAAATCACCTATATGAGACCAAACAGTCAACAATTACTTTAAAACACAGATGACAATATAAAGCGGCAGGGAAACTAGTTTAATGGAAATGGAACAACCAGAACAGAAATAATGAGAATGTTCACACACTGTTAAGAATGTAACCAACGTCAATGAACATCTTGTATAGAAACTGTTGAGTGAGAATCTAAACTGCTGTGTAAACCTTCACCTAAAACACAATAAAACAATATTATTTAAAAAAAAAAAAAGCCCATTATGGCATAATGCAGTACAGTGATTGTAACAGAATATCCCATTTTGTGTAAAATATAACCACCACTATATAAACAAATTACTCAAAATGTGTTTTTTGAAAATATTTTTCTAATCTAATAGGCATGTGCAACTGATGAGATTGCTGTGTTTTGGTCAATGTTAAAAACTTCTATAAAAAATAAGAGTGGGGGTCTGGGGACCATGGTTTCCGGGGACATCTAGGTCAACTGGCATAACAAAGTTTATTAAGAAAATGTTCTGCATCCCACTTTGGTGAGTGGCGTCTGGGGTCTTAAAAGCTTGCGAGCAGATGCATCAATTGCTCCATCACTTGGAACAAAGGAGAATGAAGAACACCAAAGACACAAGGAAAACATTAGTCCAAGAGACCAAAAGGGCCACATAAACCAGAGACTCCACCAGCCTGAGACCAGAAGAACTAGATGGTGCTCAGCTACTACCAATGACGGCCCAGACAGGGAACACAACAGAGTCCCTGACACAGCAGGAGAAAAGTGGGGTGCAGAACTCAAATTCTAGTAAAAAGACCAGACTTAATGGCCTGACTGAGACTAGAGGAACCCCAGAAGACACGGACCCCGGACTCTCTGTTAATCCAGAACTAAAACCATTCCTGAAGCCAACTCTTTAGACAAAGATTAGACTGGATTATAAAACATAAAATAATACTCGTGAAGAGTGTTTCCTAGTTCAAGCAGATACATAAGACTAAATGGGCAGCTCCTGTCCACAGATGGGATGAGAAGGCACAAAGGGATAGAAGCTGGTTGAATGGACATGGGAAACCCAGGGTGGGAATGGGGATTGTGCTGTCACATTATAGGAATTGCAACTAGGGTCACATAACAGCAAACTTGAGCTGTAAACTTTCACCTAAAGCACAATAAATTAAAAAAAAAAAAAAAGGAGTATAAACAAATCAGTTATTTATTTTGCTTTTCTGTACAAAGGCAATTTAAAATATCTTCAAGACTTCAAATTCTATAAATTATGAATGGTTGTCTCAACTAACAATGTGATTTCCCTAGTATTGATATTATAACTAATTTGTTTTCCCAACATATAAATACTTGTGAATTTTCTTTATTAAGCCAGAAGATGGTTGTTTCTTCCCTCTTCTCATATAAAATGAATAAAATCCGCTAGATTTCTCATCTAAGCATGCAAACACAAAGCAGATTTCAAGTTTGCTTTTTTTTTTAAACAGATTTTTAGGTTATTAAAATATTGATAGTTTAAGCAGGAACACTAGTTTTCATTTATTTTTGGCAGTAATTCTTATGTATTACATACTTCCCTGCCTTAGCAAACATACCCTAATTGAAGCTTTCTTTGAAAACAAGTAATAAATGGTCAAAATGAAATGCCTACCATGACAGATGCCATCAAGGAAACAGAAACTGAGAGAATTTAGAAACTTATTTTTAAAAGTATTCCATGTTACTAGGGTCTATTGGAGCCCTGCTGCTGCAGAGGTTAGACCTACAGCTGCTAACCAAAAAGTCAGCAGTTTGAATCCACCAGTAGATCTATTAATTTTAATAAGTATGTGCTGTATTCCAGGCATCCCGGACAACCTGATGGTGTTCTCTAAACACTAAATCAAAGATCAAGTCTCTTTTCCAGTAGAGTGCCCCTTTCACTTTCTTTAGACAAAAGCTGTCTTTAAAACAAATTATTTCTGCATCACTGAAACATATGCCCAATCTGGGTCAAAGGAAGATTCTGTATCAGGTTATGGATCAGATATGAAGAGTTATTTACTCCTCCAGGTTTAAAAATTTTTGCAAGTAAATTTGAAGAGACCTTAACCCAAAACATAAGCTTACTATAACTACAAAATACAACTGAAAGCAATGTCTAAATTTTGAATTTTAAAGATTTCAGAAGACGCAGTATGTAAAACTTCTTCTTTTAAAAGTCAGAAAGAGGTTCCCTCTGGGGGGAAGGTGATTGAAAGAAGCACAGGAGAGATTTTCTAAGCAATGTATATGTTTAATATCTTGTTTAAGTGGTGATTACTCTTTAACTAACCACTTATGGTCTGTGATTTGATTGTATGTAACTTATTTCTCAATAACACTTGAAAGTTCTACAGCATGTGCAGGTCTGAACATTCTGATTCATTATTAAACTGATGTAACAGCAGAGATGGTCAAATATTACTGTTTTACTTGTTTACTTATCTCAGCAGGTAGCACTCAAGGCACATGAAGCAAAAACAATACATCTGTTCAAGTCTCACCTAGCAGATAAAAGAGCCTAACTTTATAAAGAAGTGAAAGGATAGGAGAAATTAAAACATCCATGTGTGGTACAAGTTCCCCTGCCCCCCGCCAAAAAAAAAATTAAAAAATTCATCACCATTTGAATACACAAAGGTTGGGCACTGCAATAGAAATGTTACTATATTACCTCTTCACAAATGATCAATTCATAAAGGTACATGTGAAATAATCTGATTTGTCCAAGGTCATATAGTTGGTTAAAAAGTTTCACTACAAGGCTCATTATTTCAATTAAAACAAAATTCCCATTCTAATAACTTCTAGTAGTTAAAATATGACACCAGAGATATCAAATTAACATTACTTACTCTGCTCATAGAATCAAAGCACTTCCTGACCAAAGATTCCACATCATTAGGTCTATCTTGAACATTTATCCAGTCTAATAAAGAAACATTGAAAAAAGGCAGATCATCGTCTTTAGCATCTATTGGAGTTTCATCATGCTGGACAGTACTATGACAAGATTCCCTAATTTCTTTGCCACTTTCAGCATCTGTAGGATCTGGTACTACATTTTCCACTGACTTGTGAAATGAGGTTAATAACGATTTGTTAGTTGTTCTAGGCATATCAGAAGAGAGCACCAGTTCAGTGGATCTTTTCATCTCAGCCTTTTCTGAGCCTTCATGTTCAGGTAAAGAATCCAGTCTTCCCAAACATTCCCTGTAACTATGTCTGGTTAGGCACTCCAACAGTGGAATCTTGGCCATTACTGAAACCGCTGTTCCTAAACTTAAAATAAAAAAAAAAATCTGTCATTAAGATCTTAAAATATAAAAAGATCTGCCAGTAAAACAACTGGAATACTTAAGGAGTAGCATGCTTGAAAAAAAAAGCACATTTTATTATTAAAAATACAATCTTATCATTTCCTTATCATTATACATTATATATACAATACATACATAAAACACTCTATGAGGTATTCTCTAAAAGAAGCCTGGTACAGCAGAGAGACAAAAGGACATCATTAACACAGTTAAATATCACTCTAAAGTAAAGCTAACCACTTTATGCTAAACACATGGACACCTGGCTTTTATCAAAGCTTATGATATAAAAAATAAATATTTCTAAAGAAAGATTCACCATAGCTGCCACTTAAATCATAAGCTTTTTTCTTTAAGTCATTAAAATGTTTCTGATACATGGAAAACATAAGATGAACAATTCCTAAAAAGATTAGGATAACTCTTGCCTTCATTATACTCCCAAAATAAAGAGACAGAAAGATAGACAGATACTCGTATATTGTCAAAGGCAATGGGAAAATGTGAAATCTTAAAGATTCAATTTCTGTAGAATCATATATAAAATGATGCAGGCCCCTATGTTAAACTGACATACCTAATAGAATTCACTGGCAAACAGTTACTTGGAAAAGACTGTTCTGTAAACTTAAAATAATTATTTCTAGTTTTAATTAGTGACTAATTTGATCAGTCACCCTCTTCCTTCCCAATATTTGCAATCTTGTCAAATTAAAGCCCCCAAATCTACCTAGATACTCATACCAAAAAACAGAGAAACCTGAGTTAATCAGGTTGACTGGAATAAAGGAAAAAAAAAAGAAGAAAACAAAATAAGAAGGTCCCCCAATTCAAGCTCAAGATTAACTCCCCACCAAAAAAGAGAAATAATCAAAACATAAAAAACTGAATACAAAAATTTAATAAGCAGCCAACCAAAACCCAAACCCACGGCCATTGAGTCAATTCTGACTCATAGCGACCCTACAGGACAGAGTAAAAGTGCCCTGTAGGGTTTCCAAGGCTATAAATTTTTATGGAAGCAGACTGCCATATCTTTCTCCCACAGAATGGTTGGTGGGCTCAAACCGCCAACCTTTTGGTTAGCAGCCGAGTCCTTTAACCACTGTGCCACCCGGGCTCCTCAAAGAAAGCACATACACACAAATAAAGGGCTGTATTCATATTGAATTATCGTTATATTTTTACATTCATTATACCCTACTTGTTAAATGTATTTTTTTCAAGAACCACTGAGTGAATGTGCAAAGAACTAGAAATAAAACCAAACTAGAACAAAATGGCTTTTTTCACTTACCAAACCTACATCATGATGGCAATACTTAGAAGAAAACATAACGTTTTCTTTGATTGTCTATGGATTGATAGCTTTTCTATTTCTATAGATGTGTTACTATTACGTTACTGTCTTTTTTTTGGAAAGCTGATAGGAGGGCAAGAGGTAGACAAAGATTTTGCATTTATGAAGATTTTAAAGGTACTTTTAGCCTTGTACATAAAGGAGTGTAAGAGACTAAAAAAATATGGTAAATAAAATTTACCATAGTTTTTAAATTTTAGAATCTAAAAATCACTATCATAAAAATCTCTACAAATAAAAGTCAATTATAATATACAGCCTATAAGAAACAAAATTACAGTGACTAAAACTAATGATAAATTGCAAAGGTATTTTAAACAAACATTATCTATTTTAATGGCAAACCTACTGAGTAAGTTTTAACTTGATGTCTTCTATGGACTGCAGATAATTTGAATAAATACTTTCAAACTTGAAAAGGAGCTTTTGGTATGAATTTGAACAGTCCTCCAAATTGGCCATGATAGCAGCCCAGCCTTGGTGTTGAAGATGTTCATCATGAACCAGACCTTCACAGAAAGAGCAAAGTTTCTTGGCAACTTCATACATCTCCTATATTAAAGAACAAAAAGAAGAAGAAAGAAATCAGAGTAAGAAAAGGCAATGATTTGTGTGCACATTTTTGCATATGTGTATGTACATTTTTAAGAAATTGTTTTAAAAGGAATTTTTTAGTTTATCTTATTGTCATGCACCCCTTGGTGGTGCAAACAGTTAATATACTCAGCTGCCAACTGAAAGGCTGGAGTTTCGAGTCTATGTAGAGGTGCCCTGGAAGAAAGCCTTGGCAACTTTCTTCTGAATTATCGGCCATTGATAATCCAATGGAGCACAGTTCTACTCTGACACATGGAAGGTTGTCAAGAGTTGGAGCTGACTGGATGGCAACTGGAAAAACTGCTCATGCACTTAAGAACTTAAAAATACCACATGACGTACAAACAGTAGGATGTTTCTCAGCAGATACCCTAAGAGATGGTCAATCTTTGGGAAACAGAATACTTATCTAAAGCCGACATACTAAAGAAGGCGAAAACTAAAGATAAAGAGAGGAAGTAAAGGCTTTCTGAAGTATTGTGGCATGAAGAGAATCTGGATAAATACAGATGAGGAAAGAAGCATTTCAAAAGAAGATTAATAAGATGGAACTAACTTATAGGGCAGAATGGGAGGTAGCTGAGAGAATGGATGTAAAGATTACTTAGATTTTTAACCTATCACAGGCTAGCTGGGGGAAAAAAACAAACTACTGTAAAGTCAGCAACTGTATAGAACTAAGGAAAAAGTAATCTCTATCGGGTAGGGCTGTCACTGTCATCACTGAAGAATAATGCAGCTTTATGAGTTGCTATGTGTCAGCTCATTAAAAACTAGTCTATCACACTGACTCTAAAAATATAAAGAAAAAAAAGAAAACTCTTCAAAATTCTGACACTGAAAAGACATTTTCATATGAAAGGCAGGTGACACCCTACAATGATCTGGGTACATTACAGTATGGATACAAACTGGAATTATTTAAAATTATTAGAGTTCCAATGGGCCATTAATTACCTTAAAGACACAAACTGCAAAAAACTTTAAAAAATAATGAAAACAACATTTTTCCATGGACTAACAATTCAGTAAATGGTTTTTGGACAATATCTCACATCGTGGAGGACTAAATATCACACAGACTAGGATATAAATATACACACGAGATGTAAAAGTATTTGCAGAAAATATAGAAAACAAATTCTTAAAGACACGAAAGTTAAAGAATATAAGAAATTAAAATATTCCACATAAACATTTAGATTTCCCAAATAATTAAAGATGCAACAAATTAAAAGTAATAATTTAGAAATACATATTGGATGCATAAACACAGGCATCATATCTATCTATAATGCATACAGAACATTTATAAATTTATGAAGAAAAAGCCAACCCAGTAGGAAAGTAGACAAAGAATATGAACAGGGAATTCACACATTATAAGAGATACACAATGAAAAGGTGTATTTCATTGTATGTAAATATATAATAAATACTTTATTATTTGTGAGTTCAACCTCACTAATAATCCAGGAAATGCAAAATAAATTAACAATAAGGAACAATATCCTGTGCTCATAAAAATGACAAAATTAAATTCAAAAGTGTAGTCTTCAAGGAGGAGAAATAAATACTCTCAAACCCTATTACTGGATGAAGAGCAATTTGGAAACAACTACCAAATAAAATATATGACTGGGCATAGCAATTCTACTTTCAGGAATATATCCTGCAGAAATACTTACAAAGACACACAAATAAAAATATCCAAGTATGTTGACTACAGCACTGTTTATCAGCCAAAAAAGGAAGAAGGGACAGTTTAAATACTTATACAAAGTATTATTCATCGAAGTTATACATGAGAAATGGAGTCTGGAAAAATACACACCAATTGCTCATCACTGGATGGGGCAAGGAAATGGAACAGAAAAGGGAGTTCACTTTTTCGGTATATGTCTTGCTACTATTTTAAAGTTGTACAAGCATATAAAATCATAATTTCCACTGTTTTAGAAAATAATATGTTAACACACAAATTAAGCCCTAAAGAAACAGCTTCTAAAGTAAAATGTTTGTTTTCTTTGTGGAAACAGTGATAGGAATGGAAAGAACACTGGCAGCAGAGAAAAGCTGGTTAGTTGGCCTTGAATAAATTACATAACCTCACCTGTGCTTCTTTTCTTATATATAAAATAAAGGAGTAGAAATTCTTGTTGTGAGAGGATGACGAAAAAGATTTCTTGCCGGCTCCTCCACCGTGAAACCAAACAAACATAACAAGAAAAACCAGAAACAAAAACTCCCTGATATATCTGCATTAATCCTATGAAGAATATGAAAACTGGATCAAGTTGGATAAAGCTGAGAGAAGTACTACTACTGCAGATCTTTAACAAAACTTGGGGAGAACAAAATTCTTCTGATTTAGAAATAAACAGGAAGCTTGGGTGGGCTGCACGAGCCTCACTGAGCTCTGTCTGAAAACCAAGAGAAGCAGGAGAAGAAACTATGAAATCTATCTATATAACATGCTTTCTAATTAAGCAAAATACCAGAGAAAAATCTGCAAGGTCAAGCAGTGAAGGAAAGAATAAACCATCTCTTTCTCACTCTCTCAAGCATATACACCCTGCTTCTTACAGGGGCTTCTCTGTGAGCTAGGAGACGCTGTCCTACACCCTGACCTACCCTATCTTCTAGGATGAATTTGATCTATTTAAAGCAAGAATTTAAAATGATAACCTAACATGAAATATATACTAAATTACTGTAAGGAAAATAAATAAATAAAACCTGCAATACCAGCAAGGGAACTTAAAGACAACCCTGGATCAAATGGACATTGTGAATGAATTATGAATGAATTAATACGAATTAAGAGTTAGAAAATTCTTTGTGAAGAATTTAAACCTAATATTTTTAAGATAAAAGAGTTCAAGGTAGAGATCCATTGGTTTAAAGACAATATAAGGAGATAAAAAAAATCAGCCAGCTCAGCTAAGGAAATAAGAAGAATAGGAAAAAATAAATCAGTGGCTACTTTGGACACTGAAAAGGAAAAACAGACAAAAGAAGGAGACCTTGTCTAGCTTTTAACAACGCATTATCTAATAACAAGATCACAGACAGCAAAAGACAAAATAAATAAATGAGACCTCATAAAAATTAAGAACTTTTGTTCATTAAAAGACTTTATCAAAAAAGTGAAAAGACAAGCTACTGACTGGGAAAATATCTTCAGAAACCATATATCCAATAAGAATCTAATAATCAAAATATAAAACTTCCACAACTTAACAACAAAAAGACAAATAATCATATAACGGGCAAAGCACTTGAATAGGCAGTTTAATACAAAGGACTTTCAAATGACCACCAAACACATGAACAGATGTTCAGCATCCATCATTTGCCATCAAAGATGCAGATGAAAACCACAATGAGATACCATTTTACTCCCACTAGGAGGGCTAAGATTTAAAAAAAAAAAAAACAAAACAAAACCAGAAAACAATAAACATTGGCCACGATGTGGGGAAACTGGAACCCTTATCCATTGCTGATGGGAATGCAAATGGTACAGCCGTTGCAGAAAATAATGCAGTGATTTCTTAAAAACCTAAGAATAGAACTACTATATAACTCAGCAATTCCACTCCTAGGTATATACCCGAAAGACTTGAAAGCAAGTATCAAACACTTATTTGCACATTAACAGTCACTGCAGCACTATTCACAACAGCTAAAAGGTGAAAACACACTAAATGCCCATCAACAGTAAATGGATAAACAAAACGTGGTACATACATACGATGGAATACTACTCAGCCAGTGAGAGAAATGAAGTTTGATGTATGCTACAACATGGATGGAGCTTGAGGACACTGGAGTGAAACAAGTCAATCACGAAGGACAACTATTGTATGACCTCACTTATATAAAAACACGAGAACAGGCAAATGTATAGAGATCAAAGCTTATCAGCAGTTACAAGGAGCAAGAGGGAGGGCAAAAGGGGCAGGAAGTTTACTGCTTATGTAGTACTGAGTTTCGATTTACGTGATGGGAAAATTGCATTAGGACAGGGCTGCACAGCCAACTAATGTAACTGCTGTCAGTAAACTGTACATCTGTAAAAGCCTGAATTGGCAAAACTCGTGATAGATACATTTACAATCACAAAAAAAAAAAAAAAGAATAGCTGCTGAGGCTGCTTATGTACAACCGAACACCTCATGGGATTTGATTTCTTGGTTCAGAGGTTTAGGGTCATGGTTTCAATGGGACATCCCAGTTATTGGCCCAATATCGTTTTTAGTACTTCTGTTCTACTTCCTAGTTTGTTGTGTAGGGCCTGAGGTCGGAAAAGCTTGAAAGCAGCCATTCAAGATACAACTGGTTTCTATTCACTGGAGCAACAGAGGAAGGAGGAGAGTCAGGAACACGATGAGAAAGTGGAGTGTGTGGTAATTGCCTCTGTAAAGAACTGTCCCCTTTCCCATGAGAGCAGAACTGGATGGTACCCAACCACTTTTACTGAATATTTTGATAAAAAATTCAACAGGAGGCAGGGCCAAGATGCCAGAGAAATCCGATGTTTCTGGTGGACCCTCTTACAACATACACAAAAAAAAAGCAAGTGATTTGATTATATATGGCAATCTGGGAGCCCTGAACATCAAAGGCAGAGTTGAGGAACCGGACTGAGTGATAGGAGGAGGGAGAGACGGTCCAGAAGCAGCGAGGAGTTGTCAGACCTGACCCGAGAGCCTGAGTCCTTCAGGCATGATCAACTCACGGGTGATCAGTGAGGCAGGCAAACAGCAGTGCTTGGCAGGCCTACCGCACGGATCAAAAACACCCCCCTTAGGGAAAAACCTCTCTCCCATTTACCTCCCCGCTCCCTGCTCTGCACTGGATCCCCGACCGGCTTCAGCAACTGCCGAGTCCCCTGGGCCGGAAGTAGGATCCGTCACACGCCCAGAGCCATTCTCCCTGCCTTGGAGAGT